CGGCTTTAGCGCGCCAAACGCGATCGCACTGACACGCCCCATCATTTGCAGAGAACAAGACTGTATATTTGCGCAATAGCAAAGTACAAGAAGGTCACAGAAGCTCGGGGTGTGAAATGTATTTGGTGAAGGTGAAAGGCAGCTGAAGGTATTTGAAAAGTTATGGTTTCTCCGAAAAGTGGGCGTGGCTGTCGGGGGCAGGGCTTGCAGTGGCTCTAGTGTGATGTGGCTGATCAACCGCGCGGTGTGTTGAATTTGGTTCAGAGAATGTTGAACTCTATCTGGAAAGTGTTGAATTTAAAAGGAAAACGGTCTCTGTGGTCCGCTCGTTCGGTAAAGGAGCTTGGCCTCGATACATGCCCCATAAATTAACAGATTCTTGTCCATTTTGGTGAATGCTTTGTAGATCTTCTGGTCACTTTCAGTTTCCGGATCTCGCTCACAACAGAGTGAGTTTATTTTCTTAAAATTTTCAGAAGAAATCCAAAAAATACCGCGTGTGCTGTCGTACGGTGACTTCGGCACTGTGACGAGGAAGCGTCTAATGTTTCCTATGATGAATTAGTGACGTCAGCAAAGCAGTGTTTTCCCGACTTTTTGACGCTAGTCCACTATGGGTCCAGATCCCTATACGCTCGAAATCCCTGGGATGTGGTAGGCGTGGCTGCGTACTTCAACTAAAACGAGTGGCTGTGCATTTGGAGAGGTATTTTCATTTGACACAGTTTTGCTCCTGATTATTTGCGCCTCCAAACACAGAACAAGATGAAAACTGTCCCGAAACTGAAGAATGCGAGCAAGTAACCATTCTCTAACACGCTCAAACCACGCCTACTCGTCTTCAGGGATAACCGAGTGTGCTTACCCATGGTGACAACGTAATTCCCTGGATGTTTGGAATAGGAAGGAATTCAGCATACTATATTCAGTTCTCCCAAACCACGAGAAGAAACCGTTCCCTGTTTAGGCGGGATGAGTCAACCGCGGCAGCTGCAGCTTCATCGGCTTTGAGCTTGGTACATAAAGCCAAGTCGCCAGCATTATTGTCGCGCCAATGTTGAGAGAGGGAGTGAAACGGGTTGGAAAGAACTCTGCAACAAGGACGCCCTCGCTTCAAACGGCTCGCGAAAGAGGTCATTGCAACGGGGAGTGAACATGGTTCCTGGCCAATTCAGCGGGATAGGCTGCGACCCTTACTGGACTAAGCGTC